CATATGCTGCAGTAAATCACAAGAGATTTTTTTTCCCTCACTAATTTATACTGTTGTATTGCTGTGGTTAAAAAGTTACTGCGATGATGGTGATGAAAAATTCTTTGAATCTGATTTAAAAAGTTACAGAAACAAAAGAAGACAATAACTGACAGAGACGGTTAAACCATATATGACTGAATTGAAAGTATTGATAATTAATAAGAAATTTCATCTTAAAAGAAGAAAAAGCAAAAAACGATTAAAAAAATTAAAAAATAGAGGAATAAAACATGTTCAGCAGTTATTAATTGTAGAAAAATATACAAGTTCTTTTTTGCAAAAACAACGTAACCTAAAGTAGGTCAGTACGAGTAAAAATAAATACCTTGCTTCTTTCTTGTTGAAAAATTATTTGAGCTAGAAACTAAAGAGAAGAAGTCGATTGCAATGACTGTATTAGATAGAGAGCCAAAAAAACTGTTAATAACTGATCAATTTTTGATTACTAATCAAACAAAATTTTTTTTTTTGATATATTATAACAGATACCACATAATAGTTTAATGTTTTTAAAGACCTGTAGAAAAATTAGAACGACAAAAAAAAAAAGAAAAAAAGTAATTTCTCAGTTTTTTTTGATAACACAGTTGAACGCTATAATAGTTTATGATAAAAATATCACTTTTATCAGGTAATCAAACATACAACTTTTTTTTTTTTTAAATATCGTTTGGTTGAACAGACTTTTTAAAGATTATTTTTGCATGTGATAATCATTGAAAAATACAAAGACCAAAATATTTTGCTCTTTAATTTGGTTTTCTTCTGATTTCTTTTCCGCCCTAAATTTTGACCAAACGACAACAGCAAAAAAGAAAAAAGTGTTTGAAAAATTTTTTTTATCAAATAAATGTTTCCTTAAAAAAAAAAATTTTTTTTTTCTAAGGACTTAAGACTTTTGTTAATTAATTTCTTTGCTTATTCATTACAACTGTTCGTTTATTTTTTACACAAATGCAACTGCCAGCAGTTAAGAGAGCATATTACAAATACAGTAACATAACGTTTGGGGTGACTACTGTAAAATATCTTTGCCATAGTAGCAATTGCAAAAAAAAAGAAATATAAAAAATAGAGAAATTTAAGACAATTCTAATGACAGGCAACAAACTGCTGACATTTTTTTTTTTTTTTT